GGAGGGGGCGGCCTGCGCTGCCCTGCCCTGCCCCTTCCTGCCCCTGCCCTGCCTTGCCCCTGCCGCGCCCGGAGATGTCGTTGCCCCATCCGCCTTTGGGCGTGCAGCCGGTTTCCTCGGATGCTGGCGCGCAGACGTTCGTCAGGACGAGTCCTCGCTCCTTCGTCTCCGTGGCGTCCCTCTCCAATGCCTGACGAAGCGCAAGGGCTGCTGCGAACGAGGCCTCCCCCTCAGCCACCGGGCTCCTGTTGGGAGAATCTCATTCCCTAACTGTTGTACCAATTAGTCTTTATGGTATGAATTCGTACGAGTTTTACTGAAGGATGCATATTTTACATTGTATAGTGCATAACTGTGGTTAAGTCAGCATAACTGAAGGGCCCCGGCTGACTGTAAGGAGGAGGAGGACAGCGCCCACCTTGAAGATGAGGACCTTCTGTTTCTCAGAATCGTAAAGCCGTCCACAAAGAAGAAAGGATACCCCCCGACTACCAAGATTACGCCGGCATCCGAGCCCCCTCCAATACCTCTGTGGAACCCATTATCTGCCACCTTAGATAAGTAACCATAGCAAGACCAACTCCAGGGGTGCCTAGATCAAGAAAGAAGAAGATGGGTGATGGCACCATAGAATTATGGTTGTTTTTCAAAATGTGTGGCTTTAAGTAGTGAGTGGTCAAATCACATCATACCTGAATGCTTGAAAGGTACAAGAACCGCGTGTAAAACCGCATTCGGTGTGCCCCGATTTGAATGGGATGCCTCATGCGCATGAATAAATTACTCTTGTAATTCTATACTTTGCATCCTAGCCTCTCTCCTCAGTCAGCACAGGCCAGTTGTGAAAATGCAGTTTCTGTGACTCTGGGGTCCTCTGCTGTGCTGTGCCCCTTGCTCACAGAGGGCCCTTACATGGCCACGGAAGCCCATCTTTGTTTTTAAAAGATAATTCTGACCCGCAAGGAATTATCAGTGGCTAACAGCCACAGACAGCTTGTAATGGACAGCATTTTCAGTGCTCCCAGCTGGGAATCGTGCCTTGAGCACCCATTGCTGATGAACATACATGATCTTTTGGCTACCTAAAGCTGTCCCCATCTGTCTGAGTGGCATGGTTCCCACTGTGAACTGATGGGCTCTTGCCCTGGAGCATTTTTCCTGCACAATGATGGATGAAATGGATGAAGAGTAATACGGTGGTCACCACCCATACAGAAAACTCTTCTTTATTACTGATTACATTCTTCCTGAAACTTAATCATAGTATGATTATTCTGAAAAGAGAGTACCCAAAAAGTCAAGTTTAACATCTAGGTGGATTTCAAGGTTTTGTTGAGCCTTTTTGACCTTGTCCTAATTTATTTTCCAGTGTCCACGGTTTTCTGTTATACAGGGCAATTGTTAACATTGCAAGCTAAAGTTGCTCTGACCTGAAAATACATATTCTTAGCAGGAACTGGATGTTTTCTGGAAAGAGAATGAAGCATGTTCCAGGTAAACCAGAAGATAGCGCTTCCTCAGGAACAACCTACATATGTCCCTAGTAACACGTAACACTGAAAATAATAGACATTAATTGGACTATTAAAAAACATGAGGAAAAGAATCACTGAAAAGGTGG